AGAGAGAGAGAGAGAGAGAGAGAGAGAGAGAGAGAGAGAGAGAGAGAGAGAGAGAGTTTATCTCATAATAATCGCGTCGATGAGTAAAAATTGAACATTTTAAGATAATTCAGAGATAAGTGGAACGAGTTTCTTTTCTTATTCGCAAGAGCGTTCGATCATGAAACCGATACGCAAGGAGCATCCATGTTGTTTCAACAGCACACAACCGACGTTGTGGTTGAGCTTCTTCCTGCATTTGTGGCTATACGAAACGATAAGTGACGCGAATCACGTCCCGATGATCTCCCCATAATCGCCGACACAAGGCAACAGATCTCTCCGAATTAGCAGCGCGAATGTCGATGCGCAAAAACGTGGAACACGATGTGCTCGATGTCGCGCATGATGTCAGTAACCGTGCCGTTTGCGCGTTCAGCACATCCAGTGTGTCTCACTCAATTACAACTTTCATTCAAGTGCGCAAGAAAAAGAAATCAGCCCGGTCGTCGTACCCGGGCGCGAGTGGCGTGACTGCTGCGTCGATCTGGCTCGACCTTTTCTGCGCGAGCATCGATGTCTCTTTTCGCGGACCTCAGCAACTTGCACGCGTGCATGCTTGCTCGATCCATCGTTCGATCTATCGTAGCTGCGTTCGATTGTCTCGGCAGCGCGCAGAAGAGACATATTTTAGGCTCTCGTAAATCAATATGTAAATAAATATTTCATAGTGTATTGATGTGCGAAATAAGTAAATTCAAGATAACATAATCGTCGCTTAAGTGCCGAGAAAATGTATACAATTGGAGCCTCTCTTGGAGAGGCTTAACGGTGTGTTTTACAATGTGACCATTTTTTCCTCACACATTCGACTGGCTTATCCATGATATTGCGGGTCGCGAATATCGTTCCTCCGGTGAATTTAACAGAGCTATGGTGAAAAGCTACGCTGGAAAGTACAAGGACCGATACTTGGACGACGACAAAGTTGAACCCGAATTATAAGTCCTGATCGGTGGAACAAAGGACGAGGGTCGCGCAAAAGAATGCTCGCAAAAGAAATCTCGCGATTATTTCAACGAGCTTTCTTAGTTGTTTGCGATAGACGTCGTTTGTGATGGACACGTATACCTACTCTCGGTAATAATGCAAACTTCTCGACTTGATTTCGCGCGGACTTCTACCGGCTGTCACGTCTTCCATGCTATGTTCACGGCCGTTTTCTCGATTAGAGAAAGGCCGCTTCTTCGATTTTCTACCTCCCTACGAATGTAGCATTAGAATCGAAGAGAGAACATCCACTAGGCTGAGATATTGTCCTTCAACGTGAAGCCATGCATTCCTTATAAAACCGGTTTGAAACTGGGATACTATTTTCGAATAAAGCGATATATATTTTGCCCAATCAATACGTCGTATCAGCGTGTCTGTAAAGCTTCTACAGAATGTAAAATTAATAATCCATTTATCGAAACCGTCATCATATGGTCATGGATTGAAATTGATGCGTTTACTCGTATATCGTGACAGAAATGGGAGCATCGCTCAGAAATGAATATATCAACTACAGAAGACAGCATGTTTGGCCTCGAAAATGCACGCTTCGAAGTGGTTTCTTGTGGGACTTGAAGCCGCCATCGAGGAGTCTACGAGAGAGAGTTCATCGGGCGTGTACGCTGACTCGCACGCGAGAGAGAATTCGCCTTCTCCTCTTTGTCGTAGTCGCGGTTGTCGTGACGTCATTTTGCAGCAATCTGGCCGCCACGTGACAGGTATTTAAATGTACCGTACAGCTACCCCCGTATCGCGACAAAGCCGCACGACACACGACACACGAGAGGGCCTCTCTTGCTCGGCCTTCTTCAACGTTGCTACGGCATTCGAGTCAGTCTCCTCCACCTTTTGCGCGCCTACGTTCACGGCTGCCAGCCTGTGAAAGCTCTCTTTCTCTCTCTTTTTCTGTCTCCCCTCTCTCTCTTTTTCCCCGCCGCCCTGCGTTCACAGGGGGAGAGAAGAAGGCACTCTTTCCTCAGGTAATGCGCGCCTGCCGTTCACCTGGCAGAAAGAGAGAGAGTCGCGTTCTTCAGTCTCGTAGCGGCGGGCCGGAGGGAAGGAGCTCCGTGACCCTGAGGACGATTCTCGGATTTTTTTCGCCGTCTCGTTCTGCTCCGTTCTCTTCCTCGGGCGAGTCTCGCGCTACGATTTCGCCGCAATTATTCAACGCGATACCACGGCGTCTATCTTCTCCCTCGCGCGCGCTTCTCTTGCTTTCCGGTTGCTCAAACGCGTATCCACGAGTTATTTGTCGGCGTTTTACTTGTTATTTGTCATTTCGTTTCATTTCGTTGTGGTGAAGTGAATTATCCACGGATTGTTCGGAAACGGAAGTCACCTCAGTGGTGTACATGTAACCCGGGATCAGGATTCACGCCGTAGAACGTAGGAGAAACGAACGTAAGTCTGTGGGATTGTGTAAGATTGCGCGTGTGTTGGCGTGTGATTTCGCGTGAACGCGCCTTTCTTCGTTGCGGCCGCCGCAAGGAGTCACATTCGCCCTTACGAAAAAATTCAGACTCGATCGGGCACGAGGTCGATTTACCGACCGGTAATTCACGCTTCGTCTTCGAAGCGGTGAAATTCGGTGAAGGTGTTATTGCTCACAATTTATCTCGATTTAATGCGTTCGTAGCAAACGTATTGCGCAAAGCATCTTACGGCACGATGCGGCACGTGTAGAAATCTTTTACAGCTACGAAATTGACGAGTCACAATCCTACACTCGCGATCTTGAAGCACCAGAACGAATGGTTTTGCCGGCCGATGACTCGCGTTCAATTAAGAGAGAGAGAAAGAACCGACGAGAAACAAAGTCTTTCGAAGCAAAGTCTCGCGTAAGAACGCCAAGCTAAGCGTTTGCGAAATTAAAACGGACGGTCGATAGTGCGTGTACAGCCGAGGCAATGAGCGTTTCTTCAGAGTTTCTTAAGTTGAAAGAGTAGTGCTCCGTATTACATGTTCAAAATGAAAAAAAATGTATGTAACATACGCGTTTACAGATACGTCCGATAAAGAATTACGCGTGCTTTTCGAAACATGTATTTGTTTTTGTTGACTTTGAATCCATTCTTTAAATAGAAACAAGAGTCATTATTATAACCCTTTCTGCCAATCGTGCGAGTCAATGAAGACAATCCGCAGTGACATTATATCGCGTGTATATGCTTTTTCTCTTCGTATAAGTGGTCGTATAAGTTATCGTAGTATAAGTGGTTATTCGTGTCATTTATTGTCAAATGTACATGTATATACGTATCGCAGAATCCGTTTAAATGATTAAATGTTTAGTTATACGGAAGCGATTTCTATCAAGCGTTTTTAGACAAACACATGTTAAACGTTTATTCGAAAACGGATCGGAACCTTAGTTGAGAATAAATCGAGTAGAATCCATATGTGCGATGTATGATGTGGAATATTTTGAAAGAAACAAACCAGAATAGTATGACGAATCGCTGCTAATTTAATTACCTCCCACTCTCTCATAGAGAGAGATTTATTATAAGATAAGGAATAATTTCGCTCCAGAGGATCTTTTTTCCGCATGAGTATCGCTTTTTACAATATCTAGTAAGGTAAACGTCCCAGTGGTTCGACATACATGTCTCAATGATTGACATATTAGTTTTGTATTTTTCTTTGTTGAAATGCTTTTTAATACACAAAACAATATAATAAATGAAAAGAAATATTTAGTTACTTTGTGATTTTGTTTTATTTATTGATAAGCATCTTAACAAACACAAGTATATTATTAGTAATTCAATTATCAGTATACGTTCAATCACTAGGATGTTTTCCTTGTATCACCATTTCACAGACCGTACAATCAATTCGTCGCGTTGGCGTAATTGACGACATTGGTTTTGCAGGTTTGCGCATATACATATTGCTCGAAAAGTCGCATTTCACAGCGGTGTATACAGTAGCGGCAATTCCCGGTTCTCTCTCTCTCTCTCTCTCTCTCTCTCTCTCTCTCTCGCGCGCGCGCGCGCGCGCGCGCCTTTTTTACTTTTTTCGATATATCGAACGTGCTTCTGCCGTCAATTGCGTTTAGTTTTCTTACGCCCCGATTCGTGGATTTTCCTTGCGTGGCACAGCACGGCAATCGTCCAACGAACGAACCGACTCGTTGCAGCGAGCGCAAATTCGTCAAACATCCTAAAACGGTGTAGAAACAAGTATGGAAGAGAAAGTTTTTCTCGCGCTCCTTCGTCTTGCGTTCGTAAAATGCTAATGAGGATATCGTAAGGAACAAAATTACGAGTCGCGCGAACAATTCAAGAACGACTCGCGCAATGCGCGAATACCTCGTCGCGGCCGGGTAAAAAAGAAGAAAGGAATCGTTGCATTCTGTATGCTTCTCTTTTTATACTTTTCCTCTTTTTTTAATTTCTTTACAAATACGCAACATTGATATAATATTGTAAAAACAACAGCGTGATATATAGCGTTATACGTTGTATGAAATCGTTATTAGCTCATTCGTGCGCGCGGATTTTTTATTCGCTTCTCGCGGAATATCGCAGAATGACGTACGATGTGGTAGATATTACAAATAATAGATTACTTTGTGTTAATTTTGTCTCGCTTTGCCTAGAAATTATCTAGAAAGTTGTATGTTTTACCCGATACGTTATGCAAGATGTATGTTTCATTAGATATGAAATGAGAGAGACATTACTTACTCTCACGTGTAGATTTGGATGATAAATATTCTCCTTAGCATCACGTTGATCTAAAACTCTTCCGTCAAAGGTTAGCATTTTTGGTACGAAGGTTGGCGGAAAACACAGGCTGTGTAACTCTCAACTTGGATAGGTAGATAACTAGGTAGATAGGTAGGTAGGTAGGTAGGCAGGTAGGTAGGTAGGCAGGTAGGTAGGTAGGTAGGTAGATAGGTAGGTAGGTAGATAGGTAGGTAGGTAGGTAGGTAGGGGTGGTAGGTAGGTAGGTTGGTAGGTAGGTAGGTTGGTAGGTAGGTAGATAGGTAGGTAGCTAGGTAGATAGGTAGGTAGGTGGGTGGGCAGGTACATGTCTGCAAAAACTGACATGTAAATAGATAAGTGCTTACATGTGGGATCTTGTATCATGCATATTAAGGGCACTGTTCAATATTACGTTCAACCTCTGCGTTAAATTTCAAGCATGAAAATGCGCACTTATGTATCTGGGTAAACAAACATTCGTCGCGCATTATCCAAACCTTACGCCGTATCCTTGCCGCACATATATTTATAATTTAATGCCTCGCGTTTACACAAAAGCAAATGCATTCGATCAAAAATTCCAGTGGAGAATATTCAACTCAACCGTATAGACGATAGTCGCGATGAAATTCTCATTGCGTCTCGCTCGACTCCATGACTTAACGACAAATTCGCCGAAGCCATGACGCTACTTGGCAAGAGTACCGTTATTCGCCAACGGCTAGAGTATATCATCGCCGTGAGAAATTCCAATCGCGTAACAGACTTCGATATGACCGAATGAAAGCCTGGCTGCTGCCGCGCTTTCTGTCTCCGTTTTATTAATACGTCATTGCACGTATCGAAGACGCGTCTAGAATAAATGAAACATTCAGTCAAATTAGACACGCAAAGTCCAATTCAGGCACCAGACAGGCAAGTTTTATGGCCGTTAATGCTGTACACATTTTGACCGTTTTAACGCAACGTACACATTTGCACGGGGTTTACGTCCGTCAGCTCGCGGCTTCCTCGTTGCGATAATAACTGCACGACCGGCACCGTCTCGCGGCCTGCATTTTTCGCACTGTCAGAAACGGCGCGCGGTATTACCAAGCCGCGCGCTGCAACTGCACGACCACGCCCCGTGTAGAGAGCCGCGAGTATGAACTTGCACGCTATAATACGAGCCTATACCAGCAGCAGCAACAACAGCAACAGCAACGCTTGGCATCCGCTTGGCCGCACCTCGCCTTACCTTGCCTTGCCTCGCCTCGTCTCGCCTCGCCGCGTCTCACCCTGCTCTCTTCGTCTTTCCTCGCAATTTCATTGCATCTGGCTTGCATTGCACGCGTGCGATACGCGCAGCCGCGTTGCACGTGGTCGCGGCGCCGGCCGTGCGCTTCTGCCGCGCTTTTGTCGCGCCGATCCTGTCGGTCGACGAACTGCGAGCGAGGCGAAACATCGGCGAATCGTGGTTTGTAAATGTCAAGAGTTTCGACCCTAGTCAATATAGACGGAAACTTTCATTTGTCCATTTATCCCTAGGCTACTGTGCTGTATCAAGTTGTCGGTTTTGCGCTCCTGAAAAACGAAATTGAGAGAATTGCAAAATGAAAAAATCGATGACTGCTTCGACATTTTGTAATCTACTGTGCGACTTTGCGCAGCAAACGAACGTCACGTTATACTTTGATGTTCGCTCAAAAGTCGCGCGACGTTCTCGTTTGTCGACGACGGCTAACTTTATCGGTCAGCTAGCCGTGAGAACTGTGTGAAATAACGAATATTGGATTATCCTGCTAAGAAACGTCGCACAACGTGCTTAAAACTTCGACCTTGAATTTCCATCGGCCGTGCATCCCGCATTCAAGAAACAAACGGTAAATCAAGCTACCTTCAATGAGGGCGATACGACAAAGTCACGCTCGCGAGAGCGAATATGACGGGCCATAGCTAATAACGTCCTTCGCAAAAATTGCAAGAGTAAAAGAGAGTAGAACAGATGACTTATCGTGCGTCTACGCAAGATTTATCGTTATATTTTTATCGATAGTATAAGTGTATAGGTGCAAACACTCCAGACGACCAGGTGGTTGGGTGCAATTTTTCTACATTGTTGATCCAACTACTATATCAAATACAGCATTAAATCTCTATGGCAATTTGCAAATTGTAAAGTGACATATATTGTGGCGTTTTGTGTATCGACAGTTTCCGCGATAGTCGTTAAACGACTCGTTGTATCAAACACGTTAATGTGCGATTTACATTTGAATAATTTGACAGTAACCCTCACTAATTCGCTTCGTATACAAAGTGGACGAATAGTCGACAAACGTGTATGTACAACAGTTGCACCGAAACTCGATTATTCTCGTAAAGTTTCTTTACGTCGAGAAGTGAATCCGCGTAGTTTCACCAATCCGGATCGGTCCGATACACAATTGGTTGAGTACACGCGCACAAAATCTCGTAGTGCATGCAGTTGCATGCCGCATTACGTATTCTGGTTAATACAGTGTTAGACTCTTAACCGTAGATTAAGTACTCAAAGCAGTCCAGGACTCGGAATGCGCTTGCACAATCGAGCCACGACGGAAGAAACATTGGCCAATCGATTGACCGTTTTACAGACTGGTACTGGATACTACTACTTTCGACTATCGAACGCTCGACCAAATGTATGACCTATCACTACAGTATACCGTAACGGTACCGCGGGAACAGTTTGATTGTATCGTGTCGTGGGATCGACGCATCACGTAATCCTCGACTCGAACGAATGTACTGCAGGTGTGAGTAGCATAAAGAATATCAATTGAACAATCCAAGTGGAAGAAACGAAGCTCGCTTTTGCGCATCAGGACGGAGCAAACGGTCGTTGTATGCAAACGATCGCCATGGTAGTTAGGTGAGGGAACAGAAGGAGGAGGAGGAGGAGGAGGAGGAGAAGGTTCATAATCCCGATCCTTCATACAAAGGCGGCGAATCTGTTCCCTCAGCGTGCAATTTCCACAAAAGAACCTGAAAAGTACACTCACACTCAAAAATATTGTGTCCACGTTCTCCACAGATTTTTCGCTACAGTTACAAGATTTCGCAGAATTCCTTGATCCCGCATTCATGCGAGCAAAGTTGGCGATTATCAATAGTGATAATCGTAAAGAGATATATCTACGATCAACACAGAATGTCGTCGAATGAGGAACCGCCTCGCGTGTATCGTTACACAAAAAAGGATTATGTCAATTTTAAGATTGTCAATTTTGTGAATTTTGAGACTGAGAATGACAACCGGAAATTAAATCATGCCTTGTTAAATCAAGACACTCAAACGCCTGCACTTGTCAATTCGCCCAAGCCGCATGGACGTTACGCGATTACGGTAACATTGAGGTAATCAGGCCATGTTGTTTCATTCACTAGGAAGTGCGACGATGTGGAGAATTCACACTGTTCAATAAACAGTAGGCTGCGTTATTAAGCTTTATGTGAAAAGTATAAAAAACGGAGAAATATCTTTCCACGATTCTTCGACTCGATTGTTCCTTCGCCTTAAACTTTAATTGTATTATTCCATTCTTTTTATTACTAATTGTAATAAATAAAGATTTTCAAGGAGAATCGCACACATGTTGGAGATTTGGAAATTAATCGTTGCGTATAAATACATAATAGATCTTCTTTTGGCCAACTCATGCGAGCGTAAACTCTAAGGGCAAGAATGAAGACGTCGTGTACGTCTTGTACGTCTGTTTAACATATACACACGGCACACCATGGGATAATGATTGACGTCAAGGGCCGATACGACTGTCGATCGCCAATTTCGTCGTCGAACGGATACGTCCGCCAGTCAAGACCATCGAGAGAGCCGGATGCGGTCAATGAACAATACGCAGCGGTACCTCGCTCGTGACCGGTCATATTTGAAAGCATAATCTGTCTTTGTATGTACGGTTACCTTTTTGAGTCGACGAATCTGGTTGAAACGGCAAATTTGTAAATTTGCCGATCGCCATTGAAGCACCGTCGAAGCAAAGCATGCCACTTTTGGAAAACAGGAGCAGGATGTACATTCTTCGGCAAGAACTTACCTTGGAAACTGGATTGAATAAACAGCGCAAACAATAGATGCGCTGAGATTCAAAGAGCCTCATAGAGTCGTCTGCGTTCTACCTTTCTGAGATTTCATGTCGATTAATCTTAAACATGTAGCTTCTTCATTCGATCTTACTGAGATTGATCCTACATTAATGATAAATCTGTGAGACTTGAAATATCAACAAAAACGTTATTTGCTATGCAAAAGCAACGTTTCTTTTATCGATATGCTTGATTTAACTATTTTAATTTTAAGGAGTGATTTCGAGTATTTCCGGTACCGCTAGTGCGATGTGCTATTGGATAGAAAAATTACGGTATATCTCCTTGGGAACATTTTGTCGTTATAGTTTCACAAATAGCTACGAAAAAAAGAGAAAAAAAAAACAACTAAACAGTGCCTTTCTTTTAATCTGTCTTTTCGGAGATAGTAGGCAGGACGTGTAAC